CTAGTGTATACGACTCTATCACATATACCTATTTTCAACATCATTATCACACTTACCAAGCAATGCATATATATATATATATATATATATATATATATATATATATATATATATATATATATATATATATATATATATATATATATATATATATATATATATATATATATATATATATATATATATATATATATATATATATATATATATTCACTATTATATTCTCAGGCATTATTCGCAATTCATCATATACATCACAATGCATATATATACACACAACTAAGCATATTCATCAATCATGCTTCTACAATTCACATCATTTTCACATAAACATTTACAATTATGTTTATTCACAAATCTCAATCATACAGATGATAAATGCAACTCATAGAGACCGACTCACGACTCTATGCAGATGCAAATGCGGTACCGACTCATTCAGCAGGTTCAATTGAAGAACCAAATGGAACCATCGCTCGTTACCGAAGTAACTCCCCGTCGGGCTTACGATGTTCACCCATTGCTCACACCCCACATGGGCACACAATATTTCAGGATTGCTCACACCCCACACGGGCACACAATTCGATTGCTCACACCCCATATGGGCACACAATCGTTCTGCAGATTCTACGCGGAATCAATTATAAACTATCGCTCACACTCCACATGAGCACGCGAGGTTTCTGCAGATCCTACGCGGGATCAATCAACACAAGAATGCATATCATGATGCTTCACATGCAAAACGACTCATGACATTCTTGAAATGCATACATATTCACAAATATATTTCTCATGCATTCTTCACGTATTATCACATACAATCATCATACATTCACCATATATATTGTATTCATCATTCATCACATTCTATTGCATACAATCAATATGCATTCAAAATCATGTCGAACGGCAACAAACTCCATCACAATCATCATGCATTTTTAATCAATTTTAAACAATGCATATAATTTGCCCAACGACCATAATTCACAATCAATTCATAATCTAGGATTTACGCCATACGGCTACCCACAGCATAACAATCAACAGCACACAAGTTACTCATTCAAGAAGAGGTCGATCGCAACCGAACGCTCTAACTATTTAAGCCTCACTTACTTAAAACAATTAATCTCGATTAATCGGTAAAATCGGCTAAAAGTCGGCTAAAAATAATATTTCTTTTCACCAACTTATAGAACATATTATTAACTTCAGTTTGATATAAAGAACGACAAAATCCGATAAACGGTGAAAAAGTTATGAATTTTCGAAGTTTTGAAAAATAATATTTTCTCACACTTACAGTGTTAATCGGTTAACGTATATGGTTAACCGGTTAACACCTCCAAAAACTCAGTTTTTAGGCCCCCAACACTGTGTTAATCGGTTAACGTATATGGTTAACCTGTTAACACCTGAAAAACTCAGAAAAACAGCTACGAGTTTGCACCAAAAACCCGACCGATTTAATTATTTTCTCCCGATTAAATACCTACTCATCATTACCAATCATATAGTAACAATTTGGGACCATAAAACGTAAATTCTACGACTTCTGATTTTCATCCAAAATCTTAACCTCCAATTGACCAAAAATGTCAAAACTTACAAAATCACCTGATTAAATTCCCACAAGCTTTAGTAGTCTTAGCCTAACATTTCTCGACTAATCTACATCATTTATTCCAACTTCTAACTGTTAAAACCTCGATTTCTAACGACTAATCCATTTCGACCTAAAAATGGAAAATGCACAAAAACACTCAAACCATCCAAACAATCCATACATAATCACATACATTGACAAGATAATAATATTTCACACCCTTACCCGATTAAATCGACTCCTAAGGGTTGATCTTGATGATTCTCCAAGTTTCCTCTTTTTCTCCTCTTTTCTCTTCTTCCTCTTTCTTTCCCTTTCTTTCTCTTCCTTCTTTCTCTTCTTTCTATTTTCCTCTCTTCTCTTTCCACTTCCTCTTATATATATTTCTATTCTACTCTTTCCATTATATTTCCTCTCAAAACATCTATTAATCCATATTCTCATAAAATATCCAACTTAACCTTAAATAGGAAATATCTCAAATATTCTCTAACTAATAAAATATCACAATATGCACGCATATCATATTAATATTCCAATCTCACAATTAAAACAATAATCATCCAATTAAATAAAAGACTCAATAAATAACTGGGAAAATCAGAATCGGGGTGTTACAAAAGACTACAAATCCACTTGCCAGATCATCATCAAGTGCGGTTTTATAAGCATCAAAGAATCACAGATGTGCTAAATGATAACCAAAATGCAGTAACCATGCTCAATGAATTCTTTGCACTAAACCAAATGGATCCACATGTTAGGAATTATTTGTACAGAGAGATTCCAGAGCATTATTGTTGGCTAAAAGGGGTCAAGAAATGGCAGCGAAGGCAGACAAAACGAAATATTATTGGTCGAATCTATACAGTATCCCCTTCAGAAGGTGAGAAATTTTATTTACATGTTTTGTTGTCTCATTTAAGAGGTCCAACAAGCTGGGAATACCTTCTTACACATAATGGTGCATGTTTTTTCACATTCAAAAAATCAGCTGAGGATTGGGGGTTATTAGAGAGTGATAATAGTATTCGTGATTGTTTGCTTGAAGCATCAAATATGCGTATGCCATATGCTTTACGAAGGTTGTTTGTGACTATATTAATTTTTTGTGAACCAACTGATGTTAAAGGCCTATTTAATGAGTTTTATCCCTACATGGTGGAGAATTATCAAATGACAAATGTTGTTGTGGGGGATAACTTTGAAAATATGTTATTGAGGGAATTGAGGGATCTTTTGCTATTGCATGGAAAACTAATAAAAAACTACGATCTTCCAATGTTGACAATGGAAACAAATGAAGTCGGGGGAGTGCCAACAATTATTCAAGAAGAGTTATCGGTCCAAATTCCAAACGAAGACGTTCAATCTGTTGTGAAGTTAAATAATGACCAGATGAGTGCTTACAATATAATTATGAACGCAATCCACCAAAAACAATGTCAATTTTTTGTTGTTGATGGTCCTGGAGGGACAGGTAAAACTTTCCTTTATCGAACTATAATGGCAAATTTGAGGCGTAATAATGAAATTGTCTTAGCAACGGCTTCCTCTAGTATAGCTGCTACATTATTACCTGGTGGTAGAACTGCACACTCTCGATTTGGGATCCCCATTGATATAGAGCCCCATTCATTTGCAAAATAGCAAAGAATTCTGACCTTGCAAAACTCATTAGAATAACCAATGCAATCATTTGGGATGAAGCACCCATGATAAATAAATATTGTGTAGAAGCATTGGATCGATCACTTCAAGACATCATGAATAACAATGCTCCATTTGGTGGAAAAATAATGATCATGGGCGGAGATTTTCGTCAGGTGCTACCAGTTATTGAAAAAGGAAATAGAGGACAAATGATTTCATCATGTATTGTTAGATCTCGATTATGGGCCACCATAAAGGTCCTACGTTTGGGCCAAAACATGCGATCAATTCATGACCAGGACTTTGTGCAGTTTCTGATGAGGATTGGAGATGGTAATGAACCTACTAAAGAGGATGACATGGTCAGAATGCCTGCTGAAATTGTAATACCTTGGGAAGGAGAAAGCTCCATACAAAAGCTTATACAACATACATTCCCCAAATTAGAAAACCATGGATGAGATGCTTCATATATGGTGGAGAGAGCGATACTTACTCCAAAAAATTGTGATGTGCATATGTTGAATGACATGATTATTGATAAATTCCCTGGAGATGAACATATTTTGTTATCTTTTGATGAGGTTGAAGGTGATACTCATAATCTATATCAACAAGAATACTTGCACACGATTGCTCCTGGTGCTTTACTGCCACATATTTTAAAGATAAAAATAGGGGCTCCACTGATGTTGTTGCAAAACATAGACCCTAAGTTTGGGTTGTGTAATGGGACAAGGTTGTTATGTCGTGGTTTTTTTTATGAATTTGCTTGATGTTGAAATACTTACAGGCCACAATGTTGGAAAAAGAGCTTTCTTGCCAAGAATTAAGCTCAAAACCACTGAAGGTGCGGGACTTCCTTTTGTGCTTATTAGAAAACAATTTCTGTCAAACTAAGCTTTGCACTCACTATAAATAAATCTCAAGGACAAACAATTTCAAATGTCGGAATTTATCTTCCACAACATGTTTTCAGTCACAGACAATTGTATGTTGCTTTATCAAGAGGTGTTTCGCGGGCTGCAACACGAGTGCTAATTAAAGACGGAAGAATAAGTGGGGAAGAAGGAAAGTTTACAAAAAATATAGTTTTTAAAGAAATTTTGTTGTCACAAACTCAGGTATTTGTCTATTATGTTTAATCATTCAACTATACTTTTGCAATCTCACACTAGGCGTGTACTTACTAGATTACACTATACCGTTGACTATTAAAATTTACTTCATTTGTTTTGCAGTGAAACGAGAGATATTTTTGATTTTGATTCCATGGTTGACATTCCTATTAAGCAATAATGTAACTTAATATCCGTGTTAATGTTTATGTTTAATTGCTTAATAAATTGTGAGAAAATTTTTTGTTCTTCTATCTAAATCTTCTTATGATTTTGATTAATCTATAACAATATATAAATACAAAACTTAATGTTTTATCATATAAATAGTTTATATTAAAATTAATATAAATAATTACAGTAAAATTAAATTTATAAAAAAATATGCTATTAATATTTTTGCGCATTAGCGCCATAAAGAAAACGGACAAACGGGTACGGTCGTGCCCGTTTAGACGCTAGGATGAAATAATAGCGTCAGAAGATATATATTCTAGCAACTCCCTCAATTTTAAATGAATTTTAAATTAAAAAAAAAAAAGTTCAAAACCCTATGAAATGAACACACCACGAAATTCATCACCGGCGATGAACATTCATGACCGGAGTCTTCTATGAAACTAAAACCATTCAATCTTCATTCATTTTTCTTCTCCCCAAAACCGATTCAAACAACATTCATATCTCCCCATTCATCACACAAATGTTTCTCAACCAATCACCCAAGAAAACCACCACACTTGTTCGACGACGTCGTACCCGAAACCAGCGCCGTTTATAATCACGCTCTCAAATTCCAGCGTCCCCCAACTATCAAATGGAAACCACACCTAGAAAACACCACCACCTTCATCGGTTCCGTCACGCGTCAACTCAAGCCCGTCAACTCAAAAACCGGTCAATTCGGAGTTCACACTTGCCTTCGAGTTCGAAGTTCTTACAAACCTAATTCCTCATCTTTTTGGTTAGTTCTTTTTGATATTATAATTATCTTTTGCTATGAAACTTCAGAGCTTCATTTTCATGTGTGTTTTTGTTAACAGGGTACTTCTTATGATGTGGAACGATGTTGCTGAATTTGCTTATGAACACGTGAAACCGAATCATTTTATTTGTGTATCAGGTTGTTTGGCTCCTTGCATTGGAGACACTCAATTGGGTTATAACTATAAGGTTTGATCTTTAAACTTTCTCATCTACATTTTGTCTTGTTGTTTATGCGCCTATAAATTGGATGATTAATTTGTTTACAGCTAATTGTGAATGAGTTAGAGTTTGTTGCGTTGCAAAGTCTGGGCTACAAAGAGAATGAGAAAGAAAATAAATTTGAAGGTATGTATGGTTGCTTAATTTCAATGGAAATTTGAAACCATAGTGTGATTGTTTTGAGACATTGTTCTTGGAACTAGTTTAAAATTAAATTTTAGCTAAGAAAAGTTTTTCAATCATAAGAGGAGTCAAATATGGGGAGGAATCAAATAAATAGAAATAGAGGAAGACTAGAAAAACTATATAAGCGTATACTTGGTTCTGCGGTGGAAAAAAAATTGATTATGAGTGTATAGATTATGTAAAATTGATCCTGGTTAAAAATGTGTTGAATGTAAAATGATTTATGTTTTGATGAATTCTTGTAAAAGTGAGTTGAACAGAAAAGCTCAGTGTAAAAATCACGTTTAGACTCAAAAGCTACAAATTCTAGCTTCAAATAGAATCAATTCTACTTTAGAAGAACCAAACACCTCAAAATCATTCCAAAATCAATTTTACTTGGAACATGGATGACAAAATTGATCCTATTGAACATGTCCATGGAACTGTTAAAGATGGAGATGAAGCTGTAAACCAAGGTTGGCATAAATAGCCTTTAGTTGATCTTCTGCCATTAATCTGTTCTTCGTAGTGGATAACATTGGTTTGGGGAGCATTTGAAAGTGCTTATTAAAATTTAAAGTTTACTAAGTTATTTATGCGAATGTGCCCTTGGTAAATCTAGTTATTATAGCAGAAAATAAATCTCAAGAATAATTCATCTGATTGGTTGTTATGCCCGTCATGCCATAGAAGTCCGGCTATCCACAATTTGGGATAAACTGCTGTGCTGTTCTGGCTTTTACATTCCATTATAGTTCTTTGTTTACACCAAGGAACATGCTTATGCGTCATTCTTGACTTTGCCGGCTCAATTACTTTTATGGTTACATTGTTGATCTTAATCTTATTTTCAATTTTTCATGCTTTCTTCATGTGCTTGTGTTGCGTATGTTCTTATTACTCTCATCTTAATTTAATAGCTTGCAACCAATCTGATGTGAATCGGCTTCACCTTTGGCAAGTGTTTTTCGCCAGTCCAAATGAATGGTGGGATCAAAGAAAGAACAAGTTAAATCCAAAGTCGCCTGATTTTAAACACAAAGATACAGGGGAAGCTCTCTGGCTGAGTAAACATAATCCACCATGGGTTACAAGACAACTTGAATTACTTGACTCAAAGTTTGCAGGAGGATTTGCGGGTCGTCGGTCACGTCTCACATCTTGGGTTTACGATGAATAGTTGAAATTAGTTAAAGAAGACGACTGTGGCAATTCACCTTTAATCTTATGTGTGATAGCTGTTTGTATTTACCAAAATTTACAGCATAGTGGAATCGAAATGACTATGATTATGATATTCTCTAGGCCACACCACACATATCTCAGTCCTATTTAGTATCTTAGTTCATAATCAGTTTATTTATGGCGAAAATGAAAGAAAGAAAACCTTGATAGTTAGTATATTTAGCTATTTTTACGGCAATCCCATGTATCATATTTGTCTGGAGTGACATGTTTTTGTAAAGGTACATCGTGTAGAACAGTAATGGAGTATCTCTAGTTATGGAATGTGAGATACCAAACTTACATTGAAACGGTTTTATCATCCCTGTTATTTTATATATATAGAATCTTGTTTAAATGGGTTGAGGCTCTGGGTTCATCAGATAGGGACATGTCTTAAGGTGCATAGAGTGATGACAGGTTTACTTACAATTATCCACCAATAAACTTTTAATATCGGCAGCAGGTGCAGAATTTATGCTTTTGGGAACATTAAGGGTAGATGGGCCTTCTGGCAGGACAAAGTAGAAACCAAGACTGGAAAGTGAGGATTAATGTTGCTGTTCTGTGAGGATTATGGAAACATTGACCGGCAATGCTGCTTTGCTTCTAAATGTGGATATATTCTTTCATTGATTCAATGGTTCCTTGATGCTTTGTTTTGGAGTTTAGAGGGAAAAGGAGAGGATGACTTTGAAAAAAAGAGAAAAAAAAAGAGAAGAATTGAGTGAAAAGAATAGAATAATTTAGGTGGGGTGGGTCTTGTGGAATTTATTTTTATTCAAAAATTAAAATTTTTATAATTGGAGGAACTAAAAATTGTATTGGATGAGGGATTTGAAGGGGTTAGACAAATAGTTCAAATTGATGTTGTTATAGTATTCTAAAAGTTAAAATAATATTAATAATAAGTACTCTTTAATCATTCTATACAATTTTTTTAAAAAAAATGTTAAAGATTTTTTTTATTTTTTTAAAATCTTTTTTTAAGCCCTTCCTCTCCTCTCCAAATTTCTAAACAAAGTCTAAGTGTTTTGAGAGTTGATATTTGAAGGTTGAAAAATTCAATAAAATGTTGCATGTAGGGCTGGAAATGAGTCGAGTCGAGTCGAACTTGTCTTAGCTCGACTCGACTCGATAAGAATATGTCCAGCTTGAAACTCGACTCGAGTTCGACACGAACTTTATTTTAAGCTCAAACTCGACTCATTTAAAGTTCGCGAACAACTCGATTCAGCTCGTTAGGTTCATCTCATTAGGTTCAGATCGTTAGGTTCATCTAATTAGGTTCAGCTCGTATGTTTCACGAACTTAAAAGTCATTTTTTAAAATCTATGTTTTTCTATTTAACATTCTAAATTAATACTGAATTAATATAAAATTTATCAAATTAAAATTTAACTTTGTCTCCAAAGATCTACAACATAAAAAACTACCAAATACTAATCTTCAAGAGATACATTTGAAACTCTAATTCAAAAATTATTCAATTAGAATTTAATTTTGTTTTACAATTTTATCTAAATAATTAAGAACCCTACAACTTTTAATAAAATATTATAACAAATACTACTAAAAGTTAATACATTCTCATCATAGAATAATTACACCCTTTCAACCTTCATTAACAAATGCTATTGTGAGAGCTTTGCTGCTATAGTTACTACATAAGAGACAGCCTGCAAAATGCAAGATGCTATTTTTCTAACCAATTAAATTCATATATTACAACACTTACATAAAATTATCATGTCTTGCTATGCTACGTACCACCATAATTTTCATCATCAGTATATAACAAAATACATTATGATAAACATATATATTAAATTTTGAAAGGCATGCCATTTACAAAACAAAGTAGTTAGTAACATTTGCATATTAAAAAGAATAAATAGCCAAACAAACTATTTTATTAGAATGAAAATAAAGTTATAGTTTTAATAGTCTTGCATGCGCTTTATTTACTCAAATGTCTCTATACTTCATTATATGTTATTGCTAATGAACACATTCTTCTGAAAGTGTTCCATATTGTGAGTATTTTCTGATCCTAGACTATTCAATGATTTTTAGCTTTTACAATATAGTTGATATTAACAACAAACTATAAATTCACATTTGTAGAGATCACTTTTTTCATCATCAATATATAACAAAATACATTATGATAAACATATATATTAAATTTTGAAAGGCATGTCATTTGCAAAACAAAACATTCAAAAAATAACTTGGAAGCTTAATCACCTAATTTAGAGTAATTATAACTTCAGGAGCATAAAAAAATTTAGTGTGCTTATTCTTTTGAATTTGTATTATGGAAGAAGTAAAAAAGAACAGTAAATGTTATTGAGCATACTACTTGTAGCGGTAAAAATCGTGAGTGTAAGTTATTGGTTAACTTAACTCAAAGAACAAGAGTCGCCACCGCACTTTTATTTTATCCAAATAAAGGAAAGGAAAAAGAGCGAACAAAACCAAAGAGTTCTAAAATAAGAACACGAGACAGAGATCGGGGTAAGGGGGTTGGTTACGCAATGGGAAGGTGTTAGCACCCAAAACGTCTATAGTACTCTATAGGAGCCCTTTGAAATATTTACGTTTTTTGGTTTGAAAATGGTTTGTTTGAAAAGAGATTGGGGAGATGAGAAGAGAATTATTTTTTAGATTTTTGTGTTTGGAGAGACTTATCGCCTCATGCCTACGTACCCACAAAGTGCAATATGGGATCAAAACCCCGTAGTTCGTGGTACAAATGACAAAATTTTGTTGGTTTTGATTGATTTTAGATGTAAAGACAAGTCGTCATTTCAAGGAGAAAACTGCGACTATCCACCCACAAGTATTAAGACAACATCTGCGTCACATAAAGATGGAGGATTTGCTTGGATTATCAACAAGACTATCACTCAACATCAACGTGGAAAATGTCAAAGTCTTAATAATATGGGGAATAGGAGATTTACATCTCAACTATAGAAATGAATCATGTCTAAACTTTATGAAAAGTTTTAAAGTGAAAAAGTGCATAAAGGCACAAAAAGAGTTGATGAGTTTTTGTATTTTTTATGTCTTTTGAAATTGGTCAAAGCATGATTAACATTGATTGACTTTTATTAAGAAAAAAACAAAGTTTAAAAATCACTTGACGAAAGTCAAGGTTTTATTGTGAAAGCGGTTTTGAAGTTTGAAACCGAGAAGGTTTTGAAAGAGGGAGAAAGTTTTGAAAATTTAAGAAGGGGAGGAGATGAAGTGACTATCCTAAAAACCAAAATAAGAGCTAGAGGTAAGAAAGATCTAACCGACTTGTAGCACACTCCAAAGCAAGCAAAAATAATTCCATCCGATTTAAAGCATAAGCTAATGAGCGAGCCAAATAAAGGCTAAGATCCACAATACTCCAAGCATAGGAATGAGAGTCCTAATTCTAAGTCCAAAGGTCCATGAAGTCCAAGGTCTAAGAGTAGTCCAAGAGCATAACCACAAAGTTAATAGCACCAAGTTTTTTAGAGATTTTTATCCTTTATTAGTGTTTTGAACAAGATATGGTCCAAGTGGACAAAAGAGAAATGACATAAACATAAACAAAGATATGATATGAAATGATAATATGGAAGCATAAAAGTAAGAAATAAGGAGTAAGAAGAGAATATAAACAAAATTAAACAAAGATAATGTTAGTGAATTAGTGGTTAGTGGTTAGAACATATGATCAATGATGATTAATTCTTGCACTTTAGACCAAGGTTAATGAAAACTCATTAGAGGATTGAGAGAATCAAAGCCTCCTAACAATGATTTTCATAGGTATTGGACTTAAGACAAGCAACTAAACATACTTGGACTTTTAAACGTAAGTTTGAGCCACGAATGATCATTTTCCGATTAAGGGACACTTTAGCGCTATGTTAAGCAATCGTAATCGGGTTTATGTAGAAACCACGACTATCTGAGGCCGGTCAATAAAATGTTAGTGTTTATACATGTTAGAGAAGTGATATGTAAATCACTCTCCTAAAACATGCCACACAAAAAGAAAAGAGGTAGTGATCTCATCACAATCAAGATTTTTAATTAATTAATCAAAGGTAATCTATCACTATTCCAAAGTAAGGAGAATTATCTCAATGATTATTCGTCCATAGATTTGAAATAATGAAGATTAAACAACCTTGATAATCAACAATCTATGATCCACGGATTTCATCGATCAAAAATAAAAAGAAGAAGAAAAAGAATTAAAATGAAAAGAAATTTCAATTTGAATCTTAAATCGATTAAATCATCATCAATATCAATCACCTCTTTTAATGGATAAAATCAACACTCAAAGTCCATTGATATTGATGAGATCCTATCAAAATTCAAGATCCAAAACCAAAATTACAATTAATCCAAATTAGTATATATTTTTTTTAATCAATTTTTTTAAAGAGTTTTCTTTAAAATATAAAACTATTAACAAGAAAAAAGTTAACAGGCCCATACGGCCCAAATCTTTAAGAAAAAGAATAAAAAAACTAAAAAATAAAAATATAATAAAAACAAGTGAAAGAAAAAAGGAAATAGAAATCAGAAAGAAAATAGAAACACATCGTCTTCTTCTAGCTCTCACACGCGAAAATGTTCACAGCCATGGATGCTCGCTTAAATCACAACGGCGGGACACGAAAAATACGCGGTTGCAATCGAAATCAAGAGCTCTTCACAATAGTACCAACAATTCAAAGAAACACAACAAAAAGTAACGGATCGAAACTGACGGTGAAGCTCAATCTACCTTCAAACTCAGGTGAATGATGAAATCGAAACTCTCTTCTTCTTTCTTCTTCTTCTGAACTGCGAAATTTTGATTGTTGTGTTGAAGAAGTTGAAGTATGGTGAGTTTTTATGTGGAAAGGTTGTGAATGAAAAGAGAGTTGAATCTGATGAAATTTGAAGAACGGTTGAGGG